TAATTTTAGTACTTCATCTGCAACTTATATTATTTCAGTTAAAGCAGCATTTTCAATGTAAAGTTTTTCATGTACTATTTATATTTAATTTAAGCTTTATTTAAATGAACTAACACAGTTTTTAATATTTTGCATTTTAGTTTTACTTAACAATAACCACACTGATACTCAACAGAAATAGTTTTTGTTCTGTATACAAATAACATACCAACTACATTTACCAAAATGTGCAGTGTGCAGAGTATGGTGTGATTTACAAACCAAAGTATGGTTTGTAATTTTTTATTTATTTCTTGATTATTAAATCAACCTGCCAATAGTTTCTACATAAAACTATATTAAAACTAACCATTTAAATTTTAAAGATGATAACTGAATGCATTTGCTGAATTAAACAACGCAAGATGAGCACAACCACAATGTAGCTAACAGCATAATTTATATTGTTTCACGTGCTATTTAAAAATATAATATACTAGTGGTCTTAAAGGGACAGTACACCCTAAAATGAAAGTTTTGTCATGATTTGCTCACCCTCAAGTTGTTATAAACCTGTCTGAGTTTCCTCCTCCTGTTGAACACAAAAGAAAATATTTTGAAGAATGTTAGTAACCAGACAGTTGCTGGTAGCCATTGACTTCCATAGTAAAAAATACTATTGAAGTCAGTGGGGACCAGCAGCTGTTTGGTTACCAACATTCAACATGATAGTGAGTAATTGATAGCAAAATTAAAATTTTTAGGTGAACTATCCCTTTAACTATTCACTGTTTAGGTTTTTCTCATGTTCTCAGTGTTTCTGGGATAATTTCCCATGTAAATCTGTACTTGCGAGTTCACATAATCTCCTGTGACCTTCAGGAATCACCACTGTGCTCACCATGACCACTCTGAGCATCAGCGCCCGCTCCTCGCTACCCAAAGTCTCCTACGCCACCGCCATGGACTGGTTCATCGCCGTCTGCTTTGCCTTCGTGGCTTCGGCCCTCGTCGAGTTTGCCGCGGTTAACTACTTTGCCACGCTCGAGGCCAACAGGGAAAAACGCCGGCTCTCCAGGGCCTCCGTTCTGGAGTCCATAGCCCAGGGCAGCGACGACGAGTCGGAGACGGTAACTATCTCCTGTGAGCCTCGCTCAATTAACACTGTGCTGCGGTCAAAAAGCACAGCTGATGGAGCTCCTGGTTATACAATATGCACAACACGAGTGCTGCTCTTCACAAACCAATGAGCTGTGTCACAGTTATTGTGATGCTAAATGAGTGTCGCTCCAGCTGCATATATGCACCTCCCACAGGGACGGCTAAATTCCTCTAAAGACATATTTAGCACGCGCAACTAATCGTAGCACATGGCTCAACCTTTAATGTGTCCACGGCTGTTCAGAAGCAAATTGTTCAGGTGTTCGGTGAGCAGTCATTCACCTGCTCTCTTGCTGCCACGTGTGAATTGTAGTTCTTATCTGTTGTGCTGAGTTGGATATGGTAATTCGACAGACGTGTGGTGTCTCCTGGGACCGCTCTCACGCGGGGAGCTCATGGTTGGTGTTTTAAAAATAGCCGCCCGCATTAAAACTGCGAGCCATGACTCTTATAATCTCTCACCTGTGCTGCGGATCCACTTGCTCCAGTTCTCTCTCTGGCTTAGAGTCTGGATGGGAAGGAAATATACGGGGACATTAAGTGCCAGCATGAGGGGTGTAGTTTAACCTCTTATTTTTATAAAGTGCAATAAAATGTTTTAGAAATATTTGGCTATTTTAAGATGATTTGGTTTCGCCACCGTTCGGCTGGTGAAATCCAGTCATTTTAATAGGAATCCATGCAATCTAGAATGTTGTTAGGGCCAAAGATTTCCACATGCAGAATGAACCAAATTTTGGCGAATATTTGAACGGCCAGAAAACGCCATTGTCCGTTATGACGTGTAGACCGATTATCGGTGCCGATATTAAGCATTTTTATGGTTATCTGTAATTTGTACCAATTTGCCAATAAAATAATTTAAAAGCATTTAAAGATATTTTTTGTCAGAACCCTTGTTATTCTTAATTTTGACATTCATTTTCATTTGTACACCAGACATATATATCGGTTATCGGTCTACTTGATCTCTAATAATCGGTATCACATCGGCCCTAAAAACACATATCGGTCGACCCCTAGCAGAGATGTATTAAGCACTCATAAGTAAAACCAAACAGCTTTATTTTGGTCAACATGCTGAATTTGTGTGACAAACTTGAACCCGTTGCAAATGGAATGTGCGCGGAAATATTTCGCCACAACGAAATTCTCAATTGTGTGGATTCCAATTGAAATGTCTGGATTTCTCCAGTGAAAATTCACCGAACAATGGTAAATGTGATATACAAATAAGTGTTATACAGTGCTGTGAAAAAGTATTTGCCCCATACTAATTTCTTATGTTTTTGTGTATATCTCATACTAAAGTCTTTGAGAAAAATGAAAACAAAAT